TGATGAGAGGGGCGGGGCCGAGAGCCGTGGGAACGGAGCGAGGCCGGTGGAGTAATTGCTAATGCGCGACACCTGCGCCACTCGTCACATTAATTTAAAATATATACATAACATTTTACATGGTAATGCTAGTAAAACGCCATATTTGCGCGATCTTGGAGAGTCTGAAATAGATGTTGCTCAATCAGGACATTAAAATATACTAGTGCTGTCAATTAATCGTGATTAATCGCATACAAAATAAAAGTTGTTGTTTGCATAATATATGTGCGTGTTCTGTGTATATTTATTATGTATATATATTTACATATTACATATTCAAATGAACAAATGAATGATGTTTCTGTGGGGGCTGTGAGTTGTACTTTGCATGCACTACCAACTTTGTGTTTAAACAACAGAAAAGGCCATTGAAATTTCCTCCGGGTATACAAAATCTCTATCTACTCTGTTTACTGTTGTCACCATTGCAGTTCTAGTGCCTATTATAAGGAACAGCACAATATAAAAAGCGAGTGCAACTTCACTGACAGCTTCACTGAGGCAGCCTTTGAGCCCACGCATCAATAAAAACTGTGGCTCTTACTTTCTCTGGGTCTACCGGTATCAACACTGCAGACACAAACAAGAGAGAAAAAGACATCACTGAGAACTGGTGTACATACCCACTGCATAAGAGTAAAAGTCCATTACTTATCAATAAAAACCAACTTTTCCATGTTTAAAATAATAGAACGAAGAAACTTATGATGTAAAAACCATTACATCTTTTTAGTTCAATTTTCTTGTGATTCTACTGTGTGCGTATTGAAAAAAAATAACGTCTAAAGTTCATTTGTGTATTCAGAGAAGGGTCAGAAATTAAGAAGAGCTTAGAAAACAAATGACACAGAAAGTGAATGTCACAGTGATGAATTCCTCTTGATTTTATTTGTGAAATGCATAGGCTTTATATTCTATTTTTGGCCAAAAACTTTGACTAAACAACTTTGACTTTGAACTTAACTTCTTTAAGTTCATGTATTAATACATGTATATGCTAATGCAACAATATATTGAGTTCATGTTGATTGAATGGTATAATACGCTGCAAGAGGTTTATGCAGTTATGACATAGAAGAACCAATTTTGGTTCCCAAACAATTCTTAAAAGAACCATTTTTATCTTAGTGTGAAGAACATTTTAATCTAAATAACCTTTTTGCACTATAAAGAACCTTTTGTGCAATGGAAAGGTTCTGTGGATGTTAAAGTTTCCTAATGGATCCACAGATTCCAATAAAGAACCTTCATTTTTAAGAGTGTATAAAACCCCCCCTGAAAGGAAAATGTCACCTCTTTCCTGAAAGTTAATTTCAGACACTGACTCAGAGCTGTCATTACCTTCCACGAGTCTGTGTTAAATCACGATACAGTGTGGGTTGCTGCTCGACTGGGAGAGCTCAGTCTTGTTTCCTCGAATTGTTTGGGTTGCATAATTAGTTGAATATAAATCAGTGAATAAAACCCAATCTGCAATTCCAACGATAGGCCATTAAGTGCTAAACTCATTAGCATTTTTCTGATTCTTTTTGAATGATTATGTTGAAGACAATTTTCTATAAGATGCAAATAAGATGATCACAGACTTAATTTGTTAACTTTTCATTAATAAAACTTTACGAATCACAGCCCGAGTAGCAGTGTTTGAAGCCCTGTATGTCTCACATCACAAATGTAGCACAACTAGCCACCAGCTCCTCTGCTTCCTCTGACGACGTTTGATGAATTTTCATTTGGTAATATGCAGGGTTTGCAGTATTGAAAAGACTTTAATGTATCACATATTCTTTTCGTTCTCGCTCTCTCTCTTTCTTTTTTCGTTTTATTTAATTTTTTTTATATATATTTTTTTTTTTACCTTGAGCACCCTCACTGCACCATCAATGGAACAGTTGCCCAAAACTCAAGCACACTAAGTCCTGCTTATCCTAATGGGTCCTCTTAGGCTGAGAGGAGATACAACCGTGCCAGACTCAGACAAGAGACTGAGCGAGAGTGCGTGTTCACTCGAGGGATGATGCGCAGCAGGAGAGAAGAAGGAGAGAAGAAGGTGGAAGAGGGAGGAGGGGAGGAAGAAGGGAGAGAAGAAGGAGAGAAGAAGGTGGAAGAGGGAGGAGGGGGGGAAGAAGAGGAGGAGGAGGAGGGGAGGAGGGGAAGAGGGGAGGAGAGAGAGTCTCTATGGCCAACTCTGAATTTAGTTCTTTTTCAAGGTCAACCTCATACACATTGGAACGGTTATACAAAAACAGCATAAAAACAGGCTACATACAATGTGCACGTTCACTGGAAAGTGAGAATAGCTTCACAAAAGATGCTTTCTTCTAGATTTATGTTTTCAATAACAGCCGCCATTGCCTCTGTATCATCGGGGCTGAGCGGCGTGCACGACGTGAGCAATTTTAACGTGCTGGCGTTGTGATAACGGAGCAAATTCTTTTATTGATTTTGTTGTATATCACAAGAGTTTCCCCTTATCATCACTCTATAGGTCTACTGTCAGCCCACGCAGCCTCGTAAAGATAATTTCACATATTGCACAGATTTGTCACTTTTCCCCTGAAGACATCCACCGAGCACAAATTCATGGATGTTCATTAACAAGACGGTCAATTCCCTAAACAATGTGCTTCATGTCACAATAAAAAGCAGGTTTTATGGCTTGTAGCAGTAAAGCGCTATTAAACAGATAAAGCACACCAAACGGGCATCTGGAGGATTATAAAAAGGGCTGCCACACGAATAAACTCACACACCCCAAACCCATAGCCATTCAGAGAGAGGGGTTATTGAGTGCATGTTGAAAAATTGCGTAAATGCTGCCCCTTTCAGGAAGACTTCGGAGCGGCTGCGACACGATGCAGCTTGAGGAGAAAAAGACGAGTTTTCTCTCAAAAGAGGTTTACTCCTGCCCCCATGTGTTCAGTGTGTGACTTTTATGTAACTCTTCAAAATTGGAAGGAACATTTCACATCAGAGAATTTCAGAGAAATGTAATTGTGTCCAAGGTTAAATAAATAAATGAATAAATAAATAAAATTTAAATATTTATTTATTTATTAAATTGATGTGCAAAATGCACATAGGCCTACAGTATACAGCTGAAAGATTATAATACACTATTCTCTATCATATTTATTAACCGTATAATACTGATAATAATACAATTTGAAATGCTGCCCACTGACAATGAAGAGTTTATTTGCAAAAATAGATAACTGTTTTTTTTTTCAAAAATCATGTTTTTTATTGTTATCATGTTTTTACTGTGTTTTATTGTTAGTTAGCTGTATTTTTTTTTTGTTATTTTTTACCTAATCAAAATAACCCAACTGCAGTTTGATTGAGATTAATATGAAAAAACATGATTTTTGAAAACTGTTAAAAACAGAGTTATGTTTTTGCAAATGAACTCTTCAAAACAAACAAAACAGCTAAGACCCTTGTGCTCTGGTGAAGCAATAACAATTTGTCTCTTAATATCAGTAAAACCCAAAAAGTAATTTTAGACTTCATGGTGTCCAGTGCCCATTGTTCCTCCTTATGTTGAATAAAGACCAATACTTCCTAGACTCAAAACAGCCAGCATGAACACTACAAACTTGCGTGGAAAGAATCCAGACTGGCAACATCACTGGTTTAATTTGTTTGGCAGATGCTCCGCTGTGGGCAAAAAGGCTGAAAGACTTTTTCATGCAGCTTGTTGTCTAGTTTGTGTGTACTCTGTGTATTGTGTATAACGAGTTCATTGTATATCGAGTATGTTGTATATTTTCTGTAGTGTATATTGATACCAACAACTTTTTTTTATTATTAAAGGGCTATATTTGCCCCAAGGGTTGATTTTCTGAGGCTTTTTTTTTTTTTGCTTTGTGACAGCATGTATTTTTCAAACCTCAAAACAACATTGAGTCATCCATTTAGGTCAAAATGTAATTTATTAAATTGAACAGCATATACAAACAATATCATGACACAATAAACATTCAGCTAATACATTTATGGACTCAATATTATACAGTTCTCTATTGTCTGCCATCAGAATTAAATTTGAATATAATTGCTGTTCCTAGTTTTGAAGTTAGGAGGTTTTATTTCATGTTGAGCGTTTCTCTATCTGGATTTATTATTATTATTATTAGACTATTATTATTATTAATAATAATATGTTCTGCACTGTGGCTCCAGAAGTCACTGTATTTCATGTTCACCTCTAAAGAGAAATGAAAATAATCTTTTTCTGACGTTAATACATTTCTAGGATATGCTATGAATTCACATACTGTCATTTAATAAGAATATAGCAATTTAACAAAATTGTCGATCATGTTATACTTCTCCCTCTTCTACAATGACAGTGTGTTTGCCAACCCTGCGTGTTCGTTTGGAAAAGCCAAAGTCCACCATAGTGCTAATAATAGGGGTGCTTTGTCTTTTCTGTCTTGATCATTTATGTTGAATTAAATATTAATTGATGAACATGACATATTGCAATATTTTGCATATGATGGATTGCAAAGCATTCTAATGAAATATGCTGGTTTAAGCTATTATTTTCACCAGAGATAAGATGGTTTGATGGTTCCATCTGATCCAAGCCTGGTCAAGCTGTCTTTTGGCTGGTTTTAAAGGAATTTAAGAAATGTTCAGCCGGGCAAGCTGAAACGAGCTGAACACCAGTTTAGCCAGGCTGTAAAACTAGCTTTTATATTTTGATATTTATTCGGTAGTTTTATGTACGCTGAACAATGTCCGTTTTAAAAACATTTGCCCAGATTTATTTTTATTTAAGTCTTGCTCAAATATGTCGTATTCGCACTGTTTCGTTAAGCTTCGGCAGCGCTTCGTCTATTTCCGTTCACACTCGACTTTTTCCGCCACGCTCTCGGCAGCTCTCGCTCAGTGCAGTTGGGTTGATGATCGGATTTTCGTCTCGTTCTCTGTGTTGTTGTTCCCGGTGACGCGACGGAGGTGTAGCCTGACGCGGTCTCTTACGTGTCGGCCTGAATAAAAGTGGAGCTCCGAGGGCTCGAGAGTGACGGAGGGAGTCTGTATCGGTAAGAGAAGACAAGTGTCCGGAGGGAAAGGGCTTGTCCCTAATGGCATAAGAGTCTGGTTTGGGTTCGGCCCGTTGGAAACAAAGAGATCATGGCGGCTGTGGTTGTTGCATGCAGAGGGAGGGGAGGCAAACGGGAGAGCAGCACAAACCCAGGGTGGGAAATCTTGATGCATGGCTGATCGTTTAAAATGCAGGGAAATATGGATGCACAACATCTCTGGGTTTCTCAATGCATCTGTGCAGATCATATATGTGGGTTTTCCCCTTTCTTGTTAGCTTCTTTTACACACTGGCTAGACAAAAATGTGTGCTGCTGGGTGGATTCAGAGTGTAATACTCTTATATCATTCATTCAGGAATAATTTAATCTTCTCTGATGTCCTTGATGCATTGTGCGATTTATTGGACACACAGATTAGATTACAGATCTTTAGGATTGGGTTATTATTGCATTGTTTCATTGTATACTATTCTAAGTGCCGTGATTGCACACCCTCAAGCAAATACATTTTTATACACAATATTGAAAACTTTTTACCTTCTATACATTGCATATGACAAATAAATGCAGTACTGTATTGCATATTTTTATATTAAATTCCACAGATCTATTCAAATACAAGTCAACTTGATTATGAATTTTAAGACATTACTCCTGATCTGTCCACAATGACAAAAAAAGCAAATAAGCTTTTCCTTTTTTTTTTGGAATAACTCTAGGCTGTCTTTTGGATGCACACTTATAGTTTTAGATGTAAAGATATATAAATGCACAACAGCTACATGCTTCCTAGAATAATCAGTCTGGCAGAAAATAGGATTTGAAAAGTAGAGGGAGAACTATGCATGACAAATCAAACCACATAGACTCTGAGCGTCATGAGATCACATTACTGTCAGTTCATGCTTTCTGCCATGCCGGAGCTCGCTGTCTCTCTTTCTCATCTTTTTCTTTTTTTAAAGTGCTTTATTGGCCTTATTGTTTCACACACAGTTAAAAAACAGCCATTAATGGTAATAAAACATTGTGTTATTTCTAATATATTTATTTTATCATTATATATTCATATTATATAATCACAAAACATGATATTTTAATGATCTTACTAGCATTGTTTAGTTTGGTGGTATAAGATGTTTCTCTTTTTTTATTTTTTTATTTTTTTTAAGCTGAGTATAATGTCACAATTTTAGGGGACTGTTTGTTGGTTCGGCCAATGGCAAATAAGGGATTGATATCTTTTTGATATTTTTTGTTTTGTTCATTTTTTTCTTCTTTTTTTTTGTAATTGAGTCTGTAAGTTGCATTATTATTTGTGATGTTAAATTTGAAAAAAGCATGTTATATAAAAATTGTGGTGGGATATTGCAAGCACCACTTTCCTCAACTGTGAAAGCTTTAGCCTCCAGTGTGAGTGGGATTTGCATCCAAGAGGGCTGAAGCCAGTCGCATGTTCATTTATGAAAACCTATAGCCTTGCTAGCTATATATGGGGTAAATTAATCCAACTGCTCCTCTCCAGAGGAAGAGGCCTGGAGGTCAGGCACTCCAAAATCTACAAATGCTGAACAGTCAAGGGAAGCCAGGACTGCATTCACAGCATATTGTGATACACTTTCAATAAAAAAAGCTATATGATGACACCTTTATTGCAGTACTTAATTTTTTATCACTGGCCAGTGCACTAGTAATTTTACACTTTAATATTGGATGTTATTGTAGACCAATGCAGAAATAAAGATTTTCAGAGCACCTTGGGGTTACACACTGGGACTTTATTTAATGAGAACCTGCAAACTCTCTAAATTCACACTGGGATTTTGATTCATTTTTACTGTGAACTGTAATGCATTGCATCGCCCTATGTAGGCATATGTTTCGGCCAATACCTGCCAATATTCTGTGCTAAAGCATCAAAGGTCAGAGTTCACTGTATCCTGAACGTAAAAATGTTCAGCAAGGATTCACCAGTTTGTTTCTGTATCTTAAATTTAGCAACTAAATGAAGACAAGACATATTTGATGCAGTTTCTTCCCTGGACAAGAACGGTTTCTGGGAAAACCGTTTATCAATGGACATGCAGTGTTGCAGTCTCAGTTTTTAGACCAAACGGCCATTGTATTGATTCATAACTGCGCTTGTCTCGAGTGCAGGAAATTTGCACCCTTATTTCCGACGTAATGTCAAATGATTAAATTAAAACTCCATATAGAGTTGCAGCACAGGAACGATTTAGTCAAACTTAACTAATGTGTGGCTATATTTGTGTATTCTAAAATTAGCTTCCCTTTCCAAGAAAGTCTAGAGCTTCATTTTCATTTGCTTGTCTTATAAAACTGGACTAGACATTTTAGTGGATATTAAACTTTGTTTGGGTTGAGTTTTCATATTCTTATCATGTTACAATATTATACCAGCTAAACTATATTATGATACCAAGTAGTATTACAATACCACTGGCTTGGATGCAGTGATTCTTATAGCATTGCAATGAATGTGATGGCACCAGGATGCCATGAAGCAGTGGTACTTATATCAAACTTAATGCACATTTATTTATAGAAATCACAGTAACGAGGAAGAAAGGAATTCTGTCTAATCTGACATTACTTGTACAGAGGGCTGCAACTGAGCCACAGACTGTATTTTGGAGAAACAACCTGCTAATCACTTACATTTGCTTCTGTATATTAAGCTGGAATAGACGAAAGTATTTTTACATTGCAACAGTTACACAATTGAGATTGTCATTTACTCACCCTCAAGTTGTTTCAAACTTGTATGAATGTCTTCCTTCTGCAGAACACAGAAGATATTTTGTGTAACCAAACATTTGATGGTCCCCATTGACTTGCATAGTATTTTTTTTTTCTATACTATGAGAGTCAGTGGGGACCATGAACCATCAGTTACCTATATTCTACCCATCTTTTATGTTAAAAAAAGAAACTTAAACCAGTTTGAAACAACTTAAGTGTGAGTAAATGATGACAGAGTTTTCATTTTGGTGAACTATTCCTTTAATGTCACGTTTGATGTCATTACTTCATTTTTGTCAGATACTGTATGCCAACAACAGTGTTTGCCGAGGTTTTCCCTCAGTATTTCCTCAGTACTATGGAGGATGATTTCAAAGTAGAAATGTCAAAGTTACTGCCTAGTATAGTGACTTTTCTGTGTCTGTTTGATCAGATTTCTGCAGTAGCAGAGAGTGAAGACTTGCCAGAGTCAGTGGACGGTGTAAAAATTTTGTCTGGGTTTCCCTCTTATAGGTACACTTCATCTGCAATGCCATATCCAAAGTTTCATGTTGAGACTGTGAAAGTAGTGTTGATAAACAGGAATGAACTTACTTAAAGCTGCAGTCCGTAATTTTTTTGGTTAAAAATGATCCGAAATCAATATTTGAGCAAGTACATAACCAACCAGTGTTCAAAACCATCGCCTTACTTTAGCCCGAAAGTAAGGAAATTTTTCGCGGGAAATTCGAGCATGGCACTGCGTCATTACGTCACGTCTGTAAACATAAAGAAGTTGTCCCGGCTACTAGGCTATTGCATGTGAGGATCCTGCAGGTGGCCGATCATTTATAGCCTTTTCTCAAAGCAGCCAGAATAATTAAATGTATCATTTTGATGGCGGATTGTAATCCAGAAAGGATTATGTGTTTATGAAACACATGTGAAAGAAATTAAATTATATTCCCAAAGACTCACCCCAATCGGCCAATAGGTGACGCTACAGCGATCAAAAACGCAAAAGCCCCCATAACTCCTAAACCGCTTGCCGTAGGCTCAAGTGTCTTATATCATTGGATTCCTTGGCTCAATCAAAACCGATTCCGATTCCATTTCCATCTATAAAAATTTTCCGCCATTTTGAATTTTGTCAGAAACCTACTTTTGCGAACTAGTCCTAGCTGGAGCCGCGCCCACTCACAACCCAAGCAAGCTAGATAATTCCGCACCCAGCTGCAATTCCAGGTTTTCAAACAGAGATGGCGACAAAGAGGCAAAACCTACGGACTGCAGCTTTAACATACATTTATGTAATTCAAGTCACCATTAAATAAAATGTGTTATTTTTGCATAGATTATTGCAGTGTTTATTAAAATTATCATCATTATTATTATAATCATTTTAAAATGAATATCTCCCGAGTCTCTCCTCTTTAGCAAGATGACGCTCACATGAAACAATCACAGAAATTAACAAATGACAACATAAATACCGTATTGTCCCGAATATAAGACGATATTTTTTTCTTGGAAATACATCTGAAAAAACGCGGTCGTCTTATATTCAGGGTCTAGACTTTGACATGTCAATAATACACCCACAACACTAGGTGGCGCCAAATACGCATATCCAAAAAGCGTCTATGCAAACGTTAGCCAAATGTTAATTGTAGCATAACTCTTGTACGGAATGAGATATCTTCTCCAAACTCGGTACACATGTGTATGAGCTCAATCTTTGGTCAAATAAAAAAAATTGCGCAGCTCTGCCACTTGGGGGCTATAAGACAGAAAAAACCTATAAATAGCTATAACTAGGCAACCGTTGGTCCGATCGACTTGAAAATTGATATGCAGTGTCTTTGTCCAAAGTGGCACAAGTTTCTATGAGGACATTCGCATATCTAAAAAAACATGGCCGCTATTGACCAAACAATTTTAAGCACCTATTTGACAAGGTTAACGGAGGTCGATCGGAACGAAACTCGGTGGGCATGTTCGACTCATGGCCCTAAAGGTCCGTAAGAATTTTGAAAGAAATCGGCCACTGGGAGGCGAAATTGCGTTTTTCAAGTGCGTAAACGATTGTATATTTTACGATTTTTCACACATCAACACAATATGCTTATCATTTGATAGATCTTCTCATATCGAGTAACTTTGCCTCTAGAACCATTGCTGTCAATCAAATCGTTCATTAACCAAAAGCCTATAAAACCTAAACAAAAACTCAAAACTTTACGAAACTTGGTGAAAACATTTGTCCGATGACTCTTAACAAGCATGCAAAGTTTCATCAATATCGAACCATAGGTGGCGCTATAACAGTAAACAAAGTATCCAAAAACACAATATTTCAATTATAACAGAATTCTTGGTACGTATGTGTATGAGCTTAATCTTTGGTCAAATAAAAAAAATTGCGCATCTCTACCACTTGGTGGCGCTATAAGAGGGGAAAAAACATAAAAACAGCTATAACTACGCAACATTTGGTCCGATCGACTTGAAAATGGGTATGCAGTGTCTTTGTCCAAAGTGGCACAAGTGTCTATGAGGACTTTCGCGTATCTCAACAAACATGGCCGCCATTGGCCAAACAATTTTAAGCACCTATTTGACAGTTACTGAAAAAAAACAAGATTTGGTTTTTAAAAAGCCTTTTTCCAAAAGGTACATCTGGAAAAAGGGGGGGTCGTCTTATAATCAGGGTCGTCTTATATTCGGGCCAATACGGTAAGTGTAATAATGAAATATTATTATAATTAATAATTAAGTTTAATTAATTGTTTTGTAGGATGTTAATGGGATAGTTCACCATCATTTATTTCTTCCAAACCTGAGTTTCTTTATTCTGTTGAACACAAAATAATATATTTTGAACAATGTGGGCCATTAACTAACATTCTACTTTTTTTTTTTTGGTGTGTGTTCAGCAGAAGAAAGAAACTCATGCACTAAATTAAATTTTACGGTGGGATGACATGATAAGAATGTATGATAATTAAAAAATATTATGTAACATCATCAGCTCTTGCTTGTTATATTGATTGTTTTTGTCTACTGTGGCAAAAATGTAAACTCAAGATTTTGTCATTTCCATCCTGTTTCTTACCAGCTAACTCGATGATCATGGAGTCGGGAGCCGATGCCCAGCAGGGTGCAGACACTGCGGTCTCGGAAACTGAGAACCAACAGATCACACAGGCCCAAATCGCCACTCTTGCACAGGTAGGAACATAATCAATTGTTTACTACCATGTAGTGAATTCAGGACTTATCGTAATCTGTTTATTTTGAATCATGAAGAGCTAAAACATTGAATCAAGAGTCTGACATTAGAGACAGGATGACTGTGTTTGAATGTGTGTGTGATGTTGGATAGGTAACAATGGCTGCTGGACACGCTAGTGCCACAACACCCACAGTCACCCTGGTGCAGCTGCCCAATGGTCAAACAGTACAGGTGCACGGAGTGATTGCTCAACCTTCAGTCATTCAGTCTCCACAGGTGCAGACTGTCCAGGTAAGACAACTTAAATGCATTTCATTTTTGATGTATTCCATTCACCTCACATGGTTCTCTTAACATGCAATTATGTGAAATTAGTGCCATATGGTCAGATCTAAATATGACAGAATTGTCTGTTGATCAGATTTCCACATTAGCGGAGAGTGAGGACTCACAGGAGTCAGTGGACAGTGTGACCGACTCTCAAAAAAGAAGAGAGATCCTTTCTAGACGCCCCTCATATAGGTACGTATACGGTCTTCAATGGTTTCGTATGAGATAAGGACATTTTCAAGTCAACAGCTGTCTGTGATCTACAGGAAAATCCTGAATGACCTGTCATCAGACGCTCCAGGAGTTCCGAGAATCGAAGAGGAGAAATCCGAGGAGGACGCTGCGCCTGCCATCACTACAGTGACCGTGCCAACTCCAATATATCAGACCAGCAGCGGCCAGTACAGTAAGTCCATGACTGAAGTTTTGAAATATTTTGGGGTTCAGACCTACACCTCCCACTTTATAAGCACTGCTCAACATGTCTGGTGCACCATTATACCATAATTCCCAACATATTTGGTTCCATGTGCACAGCTTGTCACCAAATCAAGACCAGTTTTTTGGCAAATTGTCACCAGACCACATCTTGATTGCTGTTTCTCCTTCAGTCGCCATTACACAGGGTGGAGCCATTCAGCTTGCAAATAATGGTACAGATGGAGTGCAGGGATTGCAGACTCTAACCATGACCAATGCAGCAGCAGCCCAGCCGGGGACCACCATCCTGCAGTACGCCCAGACCAGTGATGGTCAACAGATACTGGTGCCCAGCAATCAAGTGGTAGTACAAGGTGAGCTGGACTATTTTCCCCAGATTTTTTACAAAGATACAATCCAGTTTTAAAGGGGTCATTGGATGCCCATTTTCCAAAAGTTGATATGATTCTTTAGGGTCTTAATGAAAAGTCTATAACATACTTTGGTTAAAATTTTTAATGGTAGTGTAAAAAACACCTTTTTTACCCAGTCAAAATCAGCTCTGTTTTCAGCAAGCCATTCTAGTCCATGTTGCTTTAAATGCTAATGAACTCTGCTGACCCCCACCCCTCTCTTCCGTGGGGTGACGAGCAGACTGTAAACTTCAGCCGCGAAACGGGCTTACTAGCACGTTATTAGGAAAGGCGATTTGCAAAGATTCATAAAAAACCCTTATACTCACTTCTTCTGTTGATGAAGCTGGATCACGAATGATTTGCGCGAATATAGACGCATTTAGGCAGATCGGGATCGGCACATTCCCTTCTAAACGAAAGTAACGTTAAAGGCCCGTTCACACCAAGCACGATAACTATAAAGATAACGATAAAGATATAGTTCTAAAAATCGTTCTCAATATTAAAGAATAGCAGAGTTCACACCACAGCTATAATGATAAAGGCACAGAGAAACGATATTGTTGTAATCACTTTCAGAACGATTTTTTTTCCAGCTGATGAACGATAAAAACACTGACAGCCAATAGAATGTTTATGTTCAAACAACTTGTAAAGTGAATTTTTTATCTGATGACCCCTGTAAGGATACAAACCAGGAAATTGCTTAAGTTAGTAAATAGTAAAAATTTTTATATTGTTTTCAACTTTTTGCCCTACTATGTTACTCTGGGCTATTCCGTGTTAAAGGTATCCATCATGATTCTATGCTTTAAGTCAGAATTTGGATTAATTGTTTGTTGGATGCATTTTGTCTGTCCTAAAGCTGCTTCTGGAGATGTTCAGACCTATCAAATTCGTACTGCCCCAACTAGCACTATTGCTCCAGGTGTGGTCATGGCATCCTCTCCAGGCCTGCCAAGCCAAGGAGGTGCTGAAGTGGCCACGCGCAAGAGGGAGGTCCGCCTCATGAAGAACAGGTAAAAACCAAAACAAGTTTTTGGTAAAAGTGATCACTTCTTAATATTATCAATGTTGAAAACAGTTGTGCTGCTTAATATTTTTTTGTAGAAACGGTGATTCTTTGATGAACAGAATGTTTCAAAGAACAGCATTTATTTAATTTTGTTTTAAAACATCAATGTCTTTACTCTTAGATTTGATCGATGTAATATGTCCTTGCTGAATAGAAGTATTACCCCCGGTTTCACAGACAAGGCTTAAGCCTAGTGCTAGACTAAAATGTAAGTCTTAGCTGTTTCAGCTGAAAGAAACTTGCACTGATTGATCTTAAAATATATCAGTGTCTTTGTTTTGTCTCAAGATGCACCCCAGTAATGTTTTTTTCTAAGCATGTTTATAAAAATTACTTAAATGTCCTAATTGAACTATGCCCTAATCCTGGTTTAGTCTAAGCCCTGTCTGTGAAACCGGGCCTTAATTTCTTATAATCTTAATTTTTGAACAGAAGTATAAACAATATCCAATATCTTTTTACTGTATCAGCTGCACAGATTACTGACTAATTTCAATACTTGAGAGCTTTCTGACAGATGTATGCAAGGCAGTGTAAATATAGCCTGTGTGATGTGAAAACAGAGACAAAAAAAGAAATCTGATTGTCAAAATATTGGATCTGCGCATTAGAGTTTGTAGTAAATGCATCCTAAAATACTGGCTGTTTTTCATTATGTTGATAATATTCATGAACAAAATATAATTAACATAAAACATCAACAACAACAAAAAGGATGTATCTGAAGGATACATGTAATTTTAATTGTTTTAATTTTGTTTGTTAATACGTATAATAGCATTTATCTTTAAATAAAGGCATGTGCAGTGTAATATTTATCTTTAAATAAAGGGATGTTCCATAGTGCATTTTTGCTGTAACAGAGAATCCTGAAATTTCTGATAATTGACTACTTATTTTGTCAACCCCATTTTGGACCAAAAAGATTCATTAAAACATCTGCTAAATAGATCTCAATATATATTTTCCCCCTTTAGAGAGGCTGCTCGTGAGTGCCGTCGAAAGAAAAAGGAATATGTCAAGTGTCTGGAGAACCGTGTGGCCGTTTTGGAGAACCAGAACAAAACTCTCATCGAGGAACTCAAAGCACTCAAAGACCTGTACTGTCACAAATCAGAGTGATGTACCACCCGTTCTCCCTTCATTCTGGCAGACTTGTGTGTACAGAGACTAAAGGACGCATGTTTTCTAAATGTTTTCTTATTTTAAATTGCTGCAGACTGCCTGTATGAACACACAAGTACGAGAGGGAACTGAACAGAAGCCCCTGGCCAACACAAATCTCTAAAAATATTGGATCGTGTCATTAAAGACAATAAAAATGCTGAAAACCTTACTGTGGACATAAACACACAAGTATGTTCTCAGCCATGTTTACTTCTGGACTCAAACCGAAACTCAGAGGAGGGGTTTGTGGGAAAATGTTTACCTTTTTTTCCAATGTGCTGGTGTACAAGTCGTCAATAACTTTTAAAAGAGATACAAATAATGTACAATAATAATAATTGAACTGACATTTCAATAGTATGGTAAGCATCGAGAAAGATTTTGTCTTGGAGTTAGCATCATTCCCTCTTGAGATTTTAAAGGTTTAACGTGTCTGACTGTTACTTTTATTTGGTGTATAGTGCTCTTGTGTTTTAAGTTGACATTTTTACCTTTAAATATGAACAAACTATATGAAATGATGAAAGCTGATTTACAGAATCTATGCCATTTATAAACAGAAATATTGTGTATTGTATACAGAACAAGATTATAGCCTATGTATATTTTGATTTTTACATTTTGCTCATTTTAGATGACAAAAATTGACCTAAATCATTTAATTTCATAAAATACTGCCTTTGCAGTAGCAACAGTTGCACAAACACAATATATAATAAGGTAATTTTATTGCAGACATTTGGTCAAATATACACCAAAATTCACATTACAATGTCAGGAATTACTCAGAAGTTAAACATTTCTTCACATTTATATTTGGCAGATCACTTTTGTGTTATGTTTGTGTATCATAGAGCTATAATTGGATGAAATACAATCCAGTACGTTCTATCTCTGGCATTAAAAACAAAAGCATGTTTTATAAATATTACATTAGCTTTGTCAGTTTTTCATTTCAATACTAACTGGGAGGCAGTGTCTTTGTATTTGATAATGTGATAACATAAGTAAAGAGTACATGTTATCTATTATAGCATATGCATTTTTGGCAGCTATTTCATATTTTAAAAAAAAGATATGTTAAAAGGATTTATCTTGGTTTCATTTTTCCTTTGTTCACATTCAGTTGCTTCTGAAAATTCAAGAAACAACTGAACAGTTGGTAACTTAAGTTACAGTTTGCCTTCAATCAACGTAAGTTGTATTTTTTTTTGTTTACAAAGTTGTCTCAGTTGAACCAAACTGTTTAAGGCTTTTAAAGTTCTTGATGAATTTGTTTTTTTTTCGAATCTGTCAATTATCTGACTTTTAAAGTTGTTTAAAAAGCAAAAGGGGTTCACATTTTGGTTGTAGTATGACATTTTGCATATATTTTGCACTGAGGACAGAAAGTTTTAAAAGAGATGTTAGCAGCCAAAGAGACTATGAATTAAAAATGCCCATCAACAACTCCAGTCCGTACTGAAATGTACCTGTGTCATCTGTTGGCAAGTGCATCATCTGCTGTTACTCTTAAACTTCGAACCGTCTGCCTGACGTGTCATTTACGCATTCAGGCGTGACAAATTAGGGAAGAAATCTCTCCTCAGCAAGCGCTCACGGTCCAGATCTGCAGTCTCATGCAACCTGATTTCCCTCACAAAACCAATTATTTTCTGACACAAGAATCTGAATTGGCTCATCGAAGGACAGACTGACCTCAGCTTTCAGAGAAATGCAAATTCTGTCTGTTTTCAGTGATAGAATCTTTATTCATTTTTCTGAACTGATATTAACTTTTTCCCCCCTTTTGTATGTACCCCGTATGCAATGAGATTGAGCTACTGCCATGCTGGCCAATGTGAACTCTGAAATATGCGACTATGTGTGTTTGTCTTCATGCATACAAAAGACCAATCAATCTAAAGCAATGTTTGATCCCACTCATTTTGGACAAATACATCATGCACTTTTTGTATGATAGCTTTCACCTTTTGGACACTATGTACAGAACTGGTAGGATTTTATAGTGTTTCAAGAGTTTAGAAGTGTATACCCTGTGACTTGGCTTACATTTTTAGAAGCTTTGCACTCTATTAATGTTAAAACACAATTGTGTATACTTGTTGTTCCCCCAACTCCCTTTTGTACACAAATGTAAATCTTTAATAAAATACTAATACTGCACAATGAGTGTTGTGGTTGGAAATACTGTAATGCAATGTGCTTAACACCATACTCAAGTGATTTTTCAAAGCTGTGAATAAAACAGGTTATTGGAGTATGTTTTACAAGAAAGTATTACTTCAATCTTTCTACTTTAAAATTTCATGTTTAATGTAATGTGTTCCTTGCCATTTCTTTGTTTTGTTTTTTTGAGAAAATTCCTAGCAATTTCTGAGTAAACATTGTTTCAAAGTAAATGCTAAAGGGAGCTGAATGAGACCCCCGAATGAGTCTGAAGCATTATTAACCCTAATTTTCCTCATTAATTACTTTTTACTGCCTGACTGAATTTACATTTCAAGATTTTACATTTATATTTCACAAAATTGAATTTAAAATTTTAAATAATCAGGAATCAAGAATAATCATTCTTCAAATGGAGTGGCAAACAAGAGGCAGAATTAGTTTTTAAAAAATGTAAAATGCTTATATATAGCCAAGCCTGCATTTATTTGATCCAAAATACAGCAAAAGCCGTAATATTGTGAAACATTTTATATTTAAAATAACTGATTTCTATTTGAATATGTTTTAAAATGAAATTTATTCCTGTGATCAAAGCAAACTTTTCAGCATCATTACTCCAGTCTTCAGTGTCACATGATCCTTCAGAAATCATTCTAATATGCTGATTTGCTGTTCGAGATACATTTATTATTATTATTGTTATCATCATCAATATTTAAAACATTTGAGTAAAAATTTTTTTCAGGATTCTTTAATGAATAGGAAGATCCAAAGATCAACATTTATCTGAAATAAAAAGCTTTTGTAACATTATACACTATACCATTCAAAAGCTTGGAGTGAGTATAAGTTTTTATTTTTTGGGAAAGAAATTATAGAAATGAATACTTTTATTTAGCAAGGATGCTTTAAATTGATCAAAAGGGATGGACAGAAAGACAATGTTACAAAAGATTTCTATTTCAGGTAAATGCTATTCTTCAGAACTTTCTGTTCATCAAAGAAACCTGAAAAATTCTACTCAGCTGTTTTCAACATAATAATAATAAATATTTTTGAGCAGCAAATCAGAATAGTAGAATGATTTCTGAGGGAACATGTGACCGGAGTAACGATGCTAAAAATTCAGCTTTGAAATCACAGGAATAAGTTACATTTTAAAAGATATTCAAATAGAAAACAGTTATTTTAAATAGTAAAAATATTTCCAAATTTTCCTGTTTTGCTGTACTTTGGATCAAATAAATACAGACTTGGTGAGTCTGGTGTTCAAAAACTTTTGACTGGTAGTGTACATACACATACAAATATGTAACAATTGTATGATCTATTGGTAGCCTATTTAAGGTTATTTCTATTCCACTGCAAAAAAAAAGAATGACCCAACCATTTTTTTATTTCAGAGACGACAACTGTACACCACTTGCTGAAATAAGCATGAATAGTACTGTTTGAAATGTTTTTCATTCCATAGTTTATACTATTTCACAAAAGAATAGTAGGCACTGTACAGTATGCACTGTGCAGTATGCAGTACGCTAGTATTCCATTTCATTCTATTCACAAAGAGGAGTGTGAATGGGCGGGGTTTAAATCTTTAGCTTGCCGGTGTGATTGACAGTTATAATCACCAATCCTTGAACAGATATTTATTTTGTTTTGGTCCCTCATCCAATCGTAATTGATGGAATGTCGAAAAAGGGCGGGCCCTCACATGCGTCACTAGGAGCAGATCATCGCTGCTGCTGCACTGGCCGGCGAAGAGGAGGGGATAACAGGGGGACTCTCCGACGAGACTCGCTGGACAAAATCTAATAACTCCAAACAAACCCGGAGCTTGAATTAGGCGCATGTAAACGGACAGGACTTTATTCATCTGCTGCGTTAAAAGCTTCATTTTCTCTCGCTACGGGCCCGAAGGTCTGAGGATTTGAGAGATTATTGGATCCAGAGTTTCAGCCAACACACAGATCTGCCCTATACATGACGGATAAATGCTTGGAAGTCTGTTCTTCAGGGGCTATTTCATCTGTTCCCGATTTGAACCGCCAAACCGGCTTAATTTAGGACACATTCGGACATTCAAATCAGAATTAAAGGGATGGTTTATCTCAGTTAGCACGGGGGCTAATAACTCGCTTATTCACAATGAATCAATATTAGCCGTTAGCAGTTAGCATGTGCGGCTAATTTAAAAAAATAAATCCGTATTAAATTATCCCAGACTGATATTTTCTAGTGATATGCTGTCAGTCACGTGTCTTATATCCGGTTGTGTTGACTGCTCGGATGCTAAAGCTGTAGGTCTTCTGTTGCACTGTCTAAATGCATGGAGTCCCGTTATATGACTGGCACAGATAGTAAAATACCTCTTGAGTCAGCAAGACAGCACAGCAGTAAATGCTGACACTGTGCGTTTATTTCAGCCCTTCATGCACCTTCATTTAGCTTGAGTTCATTCATTGGATCCACTGATTCACATTTGATGACAGAAGCAGCCTAGACTAACACACCTGAGCAGGTAGAGCACATACTTGTGTGTATCATCATGGGAAATATAGCATCCTGCTGCGTGTCTCCCAGTGGGAGCCCCAAACTACCCCGTCAGGTGGAGCGTCTGGAGGACTATCAGATCAACACAGACCTGAGCGATGACACCGGTCCATACTTGCAGCACATCAGTGACCGAGAGGTTCCCGATGGTAAGTTCTAGCAGGTGACCACGATTGCCCAGTCCTGCTAGTGGAGATCAACCTTCTAGACTAACCCTGTTCAAACACACCTGAACTAGCTCATCAAGGTCTTAATGTTTACTTGATAATAATACAGACATGTGTTGGAAATTAACTTTCAATGTGGACCTCCACTAACAAAACAAAAAGTGGTTCTCAATTGCACATTTAGGATGTTTCCACAAATTAACCTGATTTATATCGTCTGTTTATTAGAACTGGATGTGTCTGACTAGTTTCCAAAATGTGCATTTCTTGGGTTATCTAGAACCAGATTTGAGAACTAAATCTAGAACTTTAACCAAAATGTTGTAGGTTTGAATCCTGCAAGTGTTGTTCCATGACAGCAACTGTCACCACAAAATTCTATTCTATTCTGTTCTGTTCTTTACTATATTTGTGTTTATACATTTGTGTGCCACAGCTTCTTGAGGAACTTTACTGCTGTGATCCGATGCCTTGACCTCATCGTCTCACGGGTCGGGTTTCTGTTAAGAGCTGAACACTTTAAGTGCTGTTGGTTTGCTCTGAAAATGGGTGGCCTGTGACATTTTCGGTCCGAATAACAATTGCAGATTTGACTAATTAGCTACACTTAGTAACGTTATTGAAAGAAACAAGGTTTATGGAGATGTTTAGAAGGATAACTGACTGTTAGTATTTGGGATATGTGTGTGATGCCTCTTGGGATTGTTTGCAGTCTTTACTGCTGTTTATTTAGCCTGAGCTATTTTACCCTCAGGGGAGATGCATATAGTCACTCACACACTCGCAAATAACTTCCAGTGCTGTATTTAGAGCAACATGTCTTCATCTTTGGCTTAAAGCACATATGACAGCAGCGTAAACTCCACTACTGCGGCTGCAGTTAATCCTTTATGATTGGGACATTCCAGGTCATGGTTCATTTGGAATAATGTTGGACATGAGAATAAAAATACGGCAGAGACGATCAAAAATGTGTAGTATTCCTGGCATCCCACTGATGCAGATCTTGGGACAGCTGCATTCTCTCCTTATCTCGCTCTCTCGTTGGGAATCTCCATGAGGCACGTTCTGTTCCCTTTGGAGCTTAGAGGTTAAGTTTGAATAAACTTAGTTTTCCTGTATTTAACTGTCTCACTATGTATAGAATCACTTCTCTGGTTTGTTATGCCAGTGTTTCCCAATCTTTCTCCATAATCAACACCAAAACAGAAGAGGGGCGAAGCGTAAGAAAGACCAGCACTGCTGATATGATATTGATTTATTTTAGTACTGGCAGCACTGATAATCAAGTTGTGAATTTTCTTTAAGTAAAACGAAATCTATCTGTGAGGTACACATACCCCTTGTTGGGAATCATTGTGCTATGCCACACTACAACCGTGTTCCTCCCCTCAGCGAGGACGGCTGCCCTACCCCCATGGGGTTATTTTTGACTTTGGTGGTGGGGGAATGGGAGTGTCAGTTGAGTACATGAGCTCTAGAGACCTATGGAATGAATGAATCTCAGTTGTTTAGCACATACACTATTATTAAAAAGTTTGGGTTCCTTTTTCATGTGGAAAGAAATTAATACTTGTATTCAGCAAGGATATATTAAATTGATATAGTGACAGTAAGGATGACATTTACATTGTTACAAAAATTATATTTCAAATGCTGTTTTTTTTTTTGTATCACTGTTTCCACAAAAATATTAAGCAGCACAACTGTTTTCAACATTGAGAATAAGTAATGTTACTTTAGCACTCAGCTTTGAAATTCAGCTTTGCGGTCACATAAATAAATTACATTTTAAAATATATTGCAATATATTAACAGTTATTTAACTTGTAACAATATTTCAAAATATTACAGTTTTTTTTAATAGTATTTCTTAATAAAAAAAAAGCAGCCTCAGTGAGCACTGACATCTTTCAAAAGCGTTAAATATTCTTACAACCCCAAAATTTGAACCGTATAATGTATGCTAAAGGGATAGTTCATAAAAAAACAATAATACAAAACAAAGAGAGCGACTGGTCTTTCTTTCTGTATTTCCACAGAAGTCACAGGTTTGGAGCAACATGAGAGTGAGTAAATGATGACAGAACTGTTCGTTTTTATTGAACTAATCCTTTAAAGCAGTAATTCATGGGAGGTCATTACAGGGCTTTTACCACCGTTAAGGAGTGTTCTTATGCACTAAGTGGGGTGGAGTAAAATCACTATAAGATTTTGATCTAATCTTTATGTGTGATCCACTAAGAAAGAACACATTTGTATTTGCCAG